GATAACTACAACTTCCTAATAATGGCGAATTATCTGCAAAAAAAAAATATATATATATATATATACAAATTTAAAGATGGTACAAAAGGCACTGCTTTATTTTTCAAGTCACTTATATTTTACATGGGGAGTGAGCATTTAATAGTTCTCAAATATCTACAACACTTGCCAGCATATGAATATTTTTGTTACAAAGGATTGAAAGAAGGAAATCACAACAGAGGTGAGGGTATGGAGGATACATGATTGAAAAGTGCAAGACGGTTAAGGGAGCAAATGTGGAGATTATGGTGGAACAAATTGCTGTCTTCTTGGATTTGGTCTATCTTGAGTGACTGGAGTATACTGTTAGGTGTGGACGAAAAGATCTCACAATTGTATGAAGTTAACCTGGAAACTACCATTTCAGTTGTACTTCCTTGGCCCCGGATGTCAGCAGGGAGACATTAATGAACCTTTGAAAGTTAGAATCACTGTTAGCCTTCCTGCCATACAGTTAAAGCTAACCTGTAGTATTAGTCTATGGAATTTAAATATAAAGCAACTGTTAGAGCTGCCATTCAGTCAGGGAAGATTGAAACCTCCAGGTAAAAGAATGACAATTTTCATCCAGGCTACAGACCTTTATGACCATGAGGTAATGAGCTATCAGGACAACTGGCTGCCAGCATTGTTCCTTAGCTTTCTAACCTTTGACTTAAAAAAAAAAAATCCTTCTCCAGGTCTTCTTCTAATAGGAATGATGAAATCTACCAAATATAGTAAAAGACATTATGGAAATGAATTTAACTTTTGAAAGGGTTAAGACCCATATGAATGTGTTTCTCCTTGGAATTTCCTGACCTTTTATTTCCTCTGAAATGGAAAATTAAAGGAGAAATGCTTTCTGTCTATTCCATCTCCTTAAAATGAAATATCATTTTGCCTGCATCATTTTAGGACTCAGTAGGTGCTTCAAGAAGATATCTAAGCAGCAATTTATTTGATGCTTTCTTTTTAAAACCTCACAGTCATCTTCCAGGCATGCTATTCTTTCACCCAGTAATGTTTTTTATTCATGTGCAGACTGTGCAAATTACATCATTCTTCTGACCTTAAACATCATCTCTTGAGTCGCTCACTCCCACCACTGCGTCCTGCCCCTCATGACTCATGCCCTATTCTCTTTTATTTGCTTTGTATCACTTTTCATTACCTAGAATTACCTTCGTAGTTTTTTTATACAGTGTATGTCTCTTTCATCAATATAACTTTATTAGTTCATTGTCTGACAGAAACTGTCACAGGAACTGAGAATATAGCTGTGATCCAATGAGTGTACCCCTAAGGAGACAGACATGAATAGATACTTATCTGTCTAGGACTATAAATATCAGATGATTAAGGGTGTGATAGGAAACACAAGCAATGGAATGCATTAGAATGAATGCCATTTTATTTTTTCATCTCTGAGGTTCAGTGTAGAGTTTACTGATTACGTGTTATTTATTCAAGTGCCATGCATAGTTGAGCATACTTCAAAAAGTTGGTGCAAAAATAGACTTCATTACCAGATGACTTGATTTAAAAAATAAAAACAGGAACAGGATTTTCCATAGAGGTTGAGACTCGCATCCCACGTTAAAGTGTCTGGGTTTGGCTGGTAGCCGCCTTATAGCTTTTGACTCCAGATTTAGGGCAATGCAGACCCTGGAAATTTATATTGATAATTCCACAAACTGGGTTCTTGCTACTCACTTGGGAGACCCACATTATGTTCCCAAATCTAGATTTTGGCCATGACCCACTTCAGCTGTTAAAGGCAGTTAGGAAGTGAACCACAGTGGGAGTTCTCTCTTTCTCTCTCTCTCTCTCTTACTCACTCTCACTCATGTTCTCTTTTAATCACTTTCTTTTCATGAAGAAAATGAATATACACAAACTTAAAAAAAATAAAGCACTAGGTCTGTGTATTCCCTTTCCTCTATAGTTGCCAGCATAAATAAACTGTGTCTTCCCACTGGTAGACAATAGTAGCACACAGTTATTTTTTAAATGAAAGAAAATAAATAATGAAACAAAACAAAAGGTTGCAGACCCATTTCTGTGAGGATAGGCATTTTTAGTAGTAGTCAAGTACAAATCAAATGGGCTAAATCAGTAATCCAGAGGTAGTCTTCTCAATCTTTTTAGGCAGGTCATTCTGCACTCTGTGTGGGAGAGTCAAGGCAGAGAGGTGCAGGTGTGTTCTGGGGCAGTGAGCCTTCCTGTGGGTAAATGAGTAATTATAGTCTCTGTGTAGTGGGGATTAGGCCACAAGTCTAGGGTGCAGGATACCACTTTAAATATGCCAGAACGTTACCCTGGGATCCTAACACATTGTTCACACAAAGAGGAGATGGTTGCCAAGATTTTCCATACAGTCACATCGCAACCACCATTTGTTTCATCAATAAAAATTTGGAAAAAAAATATTTTGTAAATTACCATGTGTCTCAAAGAATGATGTTTGCAAAACTGATACATTTGTCATTGTTGTGCTTGGGGTGTAAATGTGATTGATTGGGAACTTCAGTTTCTTAGCCAATGCAGGCAATGGATCCCGTAATAGATTTTTTTCAAACTATAACTAACCCGTTCTACTGCAAATTAAAGGCAAATTACATACTTCAGATCCTACCTACTAAAGAGTCTTAATGTGTGTCACAGATGCAAACTGGGTTTTCATTCTCTATTATTTATTGTCTTTTTGTGTCGGAGGGACAAAAACAATAAAATTGAGCAGAAACTTACATTATTCAATTTAATAAAGTCTTATGTATTGGTACACAATTTTTTAAAAAAAATCATTACAAGGAGGACAAATTCCATGAATCTCACAGATACAATTCTAAGAAGGTGATTATAATTCTTCCCTTTTTTCTTGCCTCAAATTTCCTCCCTTTTATTTCTATTTAATTTTTCCAAGAATATAATTTCAGTTCATTCTGTAATCACAGGCTTAACTATATGCCACTAATCATAGTATTCAACAAATGCAAAAAAAATAGAAAGACCACAGTTCCACAAAAGTATAAATATCTCAAGATGTTTGTTTAGTTCATCTATATTTTTGTAGAAGATATTAAATGCTGCATATTAGAGAGAACATATCATATTTGTATTTGGGGGAGAGGATTGTTCCACTAAGCTTAGTGGTTCTAGATGCATTCATTTATTGCAGAGTATGAGGTTTTACTTGCATTTATCACTGAGTAGTGTTCTGTAATGTACACAAACCATTTTTTATCCAATCATAACTTGATGGATATCTGGGTAGAGTCCATATCTAAGTCATTGAGAATTAAGGTGTAATAAAATAAACAACGTTGGGTTGGATATATCTCTTTCATGTGCTGATTTCACTTCCTTTGGGTAAACTTGTAGGGGTGGGATGGGTGGATCATATAGTAGATGTATTTTCAGATATCTGAGGAATTTCCATCCTGTCTTCCATAATGGATATGGCCGTTTACATTACCACCAAAAGTGCTTGTGTACCTTTTCACCACATCCTCATCATTTCTCATTTTTGGATTTTGGGAGAAGCATTCATATCAATTAATGGCTATATCAAGAAGTTAAAAATGCCTCAAATAAATAACATCTCAAGGACCCACAAAAATAAGAAAAAGTGAAACTCAAAATTTGTGGGAGGAAGGAAATAACTAAAATTAGAGAAGGAATAAACAAAATGGAAACCAAACATCAGTGAAATTCATGTCTGAGAAAAGGAACAAAAATTGATAAACCACTGACCTAACTAAAAATAAATTTATGAGGTGTATTGGTTGACATTGTTTTTTATATCTGCATAACTTACTTCACTACTGGATGAGGAGATAACTACATTTTTTTTTAAAATAAATATGTAAATACTCAAATGTGTCATAACAATTGTAACTGGTTGTTGTGTATTAAAAAAGTAGGTTACACCAATTCAACACAAAAACCTGGAAACATTGCTTAATAATTTTTAATTCTGCTTTCCTCTTTCTGCATATTCTTGGCCTGAAGAGGAGAATATCAATAGCCTTCCAGAATGTTTTAGTTTCCAAAAGTTTTGCCAACACTGAGGTAACTAGGTCAACAGAGGAAAATATTCCTTCTCCTGCCTACATGAATATTCTGCTGTTTGAAAAACTGTAGTAGCTCATCAATCATTTTTGTTAATATTTGTAGCTTTACACAAAGTGAAATATGATTTGTTAAACTCCATCAAGAAGCATGTTTTCCAAAATCCTCATCTCATTTCAGATTCTTTTGCTTACAGTTATGGTTAAATAATGTCTGTACGATTATGACACCAAGTTGGAAACAAACTGTAAACAGAGCATGTAAAGTATGATTTATTGTAAATACTCCTAAAACACTTGGAATAGGTGCTCAATTATTATCATTTTAGAAGCTAGACTTCCTTTGATGATACATTTGCCATTTTAATCCAAAATAAACCTTTTAAAAGCATTTCACTAATAATATTTTGATTTTAAAAGTTTATAAATTTATGGATTTTATACAAACTGATAAGTGATTTTTATGTGTGCTTGCTCTTTGACAATCTACTGCAAAATATTTTTGGTAATTTGTAAGTTAGAACAGTTGTGACTGTGATTTCTGCATCCACAGGACCTTTGCTGTGGGTGAGATCTTTTCTTGAGTTTGTTAATTCCACTGTGAATTGTGATGCTCAAGAGTGATATATTCAGACTAAGAAAACAGACCCACAGTAAAAGGTGTTTGTGCTGTTCTACAGTATTTTTGGTAATCCAAGAGGATTATTATTTTAATCACAAGGTAGTTGATTTCGTCTGTTAAATCCTGAAGGTGAAGCTTGTTATCCTGATTTAATATAGATAAGTCAGTTTTAGAATTTTGAGGGAAATAAATGTGAAACAGGCAATTTGGATATTTTTACCTCATATAACATGCAATCATTTTAATTTAATTTCTTCATTTAATTTTGTTGATTTTCCTTTCAGGTTGTTGATCATTAAAATTGCACTTCAAGGAGACAGACCTAAATGAACAGTAAGTTTTCAAATCATTTAATTTTAGTATTACACTGTTACACATCATACTGATTTGATGATAGTTTACCCTTCTATGTTTTTATGACAGTGTAGGGCCTAGAATACGAGTGGAGCCCCTAGAACTTAAACTATTTACAGGATAGCAAAATATGTTTTACTGAACTCTGCTATTAAATAGTTTGTTCGTTTAACAGATTTAAGTCAGATTTATTAGAAAAGTCAACTAAAGAAGATTCCTTCTAATTTAATGTTCCTTTTGTCCATTACTTTTCATTTTCAAATGTGTATCATGAAAAAAAGAGAAATGTATTAATTCTATATAAAGTAAACATAATTTTTGTAATAAAGTATCTTTCCTTTTCAGATATTTTTTATGAATTAAATGTTAATATAGTCACATGAATGAATTCTATTTTTACTATGCTGAAAATAGTAACATTTATGCTGAATTTAAAGCTAGTCAGTTAGGACATCTATTAAACCAAATAAGTATGAAAGCTACTTTTTTGATGTAATACACTTGTGTCTTGTATTTCAATATCATAGTCATTTCAAAACCATGATTGTTAACATGAATGTTAGTTATAATTAGTTTAATTAGTTATAATTAAAGGTTTTAGTCTGCCAGACATTTTCTATGCATTATAGCTAATATAGTGATGGGAAAAGCTATACTTTTTCCATTATTCATTAGAATGATTTCCTATATTAATTTCGTCAATTTACTATCTAGTACTTTAATGTAATAATTTAAGCAGAGCATCCTCTCTGAAAGTTAATATATAAAGGTGTAGTATTACATATTAAACTTAGTCCCGAAACGTTGCTCAGAGAAGAGTACACATAAGGACAACCCCCGGTCTGGAGAGTGATTGGTGTAGGGGTTGAGATGCACTTGGGACACCTACGTTCCATAACCAAGTGGCTACTTCAAGTCCAAGCCCTGCTGCTGTTTCCAGCCTCCTGCTAATATCCCCATGGGAGGCAGCAGGCAATGGCTCCAATAGTTGGGAGATGCGGGTTCAAGCTCTTGGTTTTTTGCTTCAGCTTGGCCTAACCCAAGCTGTTTGGGTGTTTGGGCAGTGAATCTGTGAATGGGAGATGTCTAACTACCACTCTCTCTCTGTTTTCCCTTCCATTCAAAATGAAGTCTGGGGAAAAAAAATGATTTTTCTAAAATGATAGCTTTTGAAATAAAGCAGAAAAGCAATTTTAAATTAAAAACAATTGGCAAATTTAGACACAAATTAAATAGGCATATAATAATATGTCATTATACATTTTATTGCTATGTAATTGCATGTTATATAGCAACATTTAAATAAATCATGTAAGTATATATAAGTAAATTATATAAGTATATGTCAATGTTTAAACACATATAATTACCTAGATACATAATTGTTAATGGAATACAGTGTAAAACTGAAAACAGACACTTATGCAAGGAGAAAGGTCCTAATTATTTCCTGCATCCCTCATCAACCTCCTGGAGGCCGCCAGCGTCAGAGTGTGGTCTGTGCTAACCACCTCATCATTAGAACTTCTCCATGCTTTCAAAGTGCCTGCCCTTGTGTGTCTTATTTATTGGGAAGGAAGTTTGCTTTTGGTCATGCAATTTGTTTTTAAACATTAACTGTCCAACATATGGTTCTTCAGCTTGTTTTCATGGGTATCTGGTTAGGGCGATAGTATTTCTTAATATGGCTTCATACATTTCAATAAAGAAAATAATCATGAAAAAATATCTAGCTTTTTGGTATTTTTTATCAAATGAATTATGATATAAGGTTATAATCTCAATGATGTTTTAACTCTAGACCTGATAATCCTGTGAAAATTATTGTTATGTTTCTCCTAAAGAGAGGCATCAAGCTATGTGGAGTGATTGTAATTTAGTAGGGAGTATTCTCTCATGATTCTAGTAGAACTCAGCCTGGAGATGCCCAGTGCCCATTGCAAAATACAGGATTCTCTATTATAAAGTGGGGTCTACATTGCATTCTTCAGACATCACACTCAGTGGTAAAAAGTGCATTGTATAATCAGGTGTTTAAGAAGGAATTCCAGAATAAATTTGCTTATCTTCTACCAATGACTTAAAGTATTTAGGTTTCTCTTTAGATTAATATTATGTACAGTGAAGAGAGCAGAAACAAACTATAAATTTACTACAATAAACATAATTTATGGAAAATAAATGTGTAAAATAAGAACAAGTAATATCAGCAACAAATTATAGCACCATGAAAAAAAGATGCCACTGAGTAACCAACACATGAATGACAAAAAGCAAATGCAAAAATCTCTTGGAAAAAATGATGGCACTGTGTAATCTATGAGCCAGTGATGAATTCAACAAGAGAAAATTATTGGAATAAACAAAACTCAAATAAAAAACATCAAAACATATGGGATACAGCCAAAAAAGCTAACCGACAACCAAAAAACACTCTGGATTGGATTATTGAAGTTACACTTTCCATGTTGGTCTCCTTATATAAGAGAGAACATATGGTATTTATTATTTTGTGATTTACTCATTTCACTGAGCATAATGGTCTCTAGTTTAGATCACCTAATTGTAAATGGTATAATTTCATTCTTCTTAATAGCTGAATAATATTCCATGGATTAGATGTTCCAGTTTCTTTAACCACTCTCCCTTGGATGCACATCTGGATTGTTTCCATGTCTTTGGTATTGTAAATTGTGCTGCTGCAAATATAGGATTACAGATCCCCTTCTCATATGTAGATTTCACTTCTATTGGATATGTTCCTAGGAGTGGGATAGCTTGGGAATATGGAAGGTTTATTTGCAATTCTCCAAGCATTCTCTATACTGATTTCCGTGGTGGTTGTAGTAGCCTACACTCCCACCAGCAGTGAAGGAAGGTTCCTTTCTCCCCACATCCACGCCAGCAAGTGTTGTTAGTTGAGTTCTGAATGTAGGCCAGTCTCACTGGAATTAGTTGGTACCTCAACGTGGTTTTCATTTGTGTCTCTTTGATGGCTAAGGAGCCTAAGCATCTTTTCATTTGTCTGCTAGCCATTTGAATCTGTTCTTTTGAAAAATGTCTATTCATTTCCTTTGCCCATTTTGTTACAGGGTTTTTTGTTTTGTTTTGTTTTTATTTTTTCTGTCCCTGGGTTTCTGAAACTCTGTAAATCCTGGATATCAATTTCCTATCATTTATGTAGTGTGCAAAAATTTTCTCCCATTCTGTTGGTTGTTTCACTTTGTTAACTGTTTCCTTTGCTGTACAGAAGCTTTTTAGTTTGATATAGTCCCGTTTGCTCATTTTGGTTTTGGTTACCTTTGCTTTTGGCATCTTTTCTAAGAAGCACTTCCCTGTTCTTATATCTTGGAGAGTGCTTCCGATGATTTCCTTTAGTAGTTTGATGGTTTTTCGGTGTAGATTTAGGTGCTGTAATTTGTTGTTGTTATTATTGTTGTGGCTGTTCTAACTCATACCAATTGTTGACCTGGTTTCATGGCTTCTCAATTATGGACATATATAGTGATGGATTACTGGGGTCTATCATATACAGATGTGGGGGAATAATGGAACATGCATCCCTGCTTTTGGATGAAAGATAGATTTCTAATGAAAATGTTGGACATGTGTAGACAATGAGATGCTGGACTGCTTGGCATTGTCTGTGCCAACATTGTCAGGGTGCACTTAAATAAGGGAGTAATAGAATTATGATTCCTTATGAAGGACTACACTATTGTAGTAAAATGGGGAAAATCTGTCGAGGGTCGGAGTTTGGGGAGAATCCCAGCCTATATGATATTGTACCAAATAATTCAGAATTCAAAATAATATATATAAAAAAATATAAAGAACAAATAATTGTATGTTATAAAATTATGATTAGCAATTTTCTTTACAATGACATGGATCAACACACACACACATATATATATATGATATATATGTAATATGAAACTAAATTACAGAGAGACATGGAAAGATACAGACAAGAGAGACATGGAGAGACATCTTCCATACTGTGGTTCATTCCCCAAATGGCATCAACAGCTATGACTAGGCCAGCTAAGAACCAGGAACCAGAAACCCCATCCTGGTTTCCCAAATGGGTGAAGAGGGTCCATCTTCCACTGCCTTCCCAGGCACTTCAGAAGGAATCTGGATACGAGGCAGAATAGCCAAGATTTGAACTAATACTTAACTTACCACATCACAATGCTGACAGCTTATTTAATATTTTTTATGATTTATCTATTTTGTAAAGCTTTATGTATTTTTAGTGGAAAGTCAGATATACAAAGAGTAGAAGAGACAGAGAGGAAGATCTTCCGTCCCCAAGCGACTGCAATGACTGGAGCTACACCAATTTGAAGCCAGAAACCCAGAACCTCTTCCAGGTCTCCCACATGGCTGCAGGGTCCAAAAGCCTTGGGTTGTCCTCTACTGCTTCCCCAGGCTACATGCAGGGAGCCGGATGGGAGATGGGGCCGCCAAGATTAGACTGGCACCCATATGGAATACCGGTGCTATCAAAGTGAGGACTTTGGACCTGATTTATTTATTTTGATGTGAAAGTCAGGGTTATACAAAGAAGAGGGAAAAGAGACAGACAGAGAGAGAGATGGTATCTTTCATTCAGTGGTTCACACCCCAAATGGCTCAGTAGCCTCTGTAGCCATGAGCTTCCTCCAGGTCTCCTCTGTGCTAAGGGGCCCAAGGACTTGAACCATCCTCCACGGCTTTCCAAAGTCATAAGCAGGGATTTTGATCAGAAGTGGAACAGCACCTGGCAGGATGGCTAAATCCTCATCTTGCAAGTGTCAGGATTCAATGCGGGTGCTATTATTTGTCCTGACTGCTTGGTTTCCCATCCAGCTTCCTTCTTGTTGCCTAGGAAAGCAGTAGAAGATGGCCCAAAACCTTGGAACCCTGAATTAACATGGGAGACATGGAGGAGGCTCTTGGCTTCAGATTGTGGCCATTTGGGGAATGAACCA